CCATTCATCCATCTTCTATACCGCTTATCCTTCCTTCAGGGTCACGGGGAACCTGGAGTCTATCCCAGGGAGCACGGGGCACAAGGCGGGGTACACCCTGGACAGGGTGCCAATCCATTGCAGGGCACAATCACATACACACTCACACACCCATTCATACACTACGGACACTTTAGACACACCAATCAGCCTACCATGCATGTCTTTGGACTGGGGGAGGAAACCGGAGTACCCGGAGGAAACCCCCGCAGCACGGGGAGAACATGCAAACTCCGCACACACAGGACCACGGTGGGAGAGAATGGCTAATTTGCTAACATTACTACTGAAAACTGTAATAAGAGGGAATATCTGTATTTTGTTTGTACTGACAAGAGGAAAAACCCATAATTAAAATGAATCAAGTCGTTTCTTCTCCAAAGCAACATGCTTTCATCCATTTATTATCAAGCTCAGATTATGTGGAGCGTCCTGTATACAGGTCCCTCTATAAGTTGTACTGTAAGTAAAGGCTAAATTAAACTTCGACGTCGGGGGGCACATGGGCTTCGTGATCGGCATGTTGGAGGTCCGATTCCCATCTCTGCTCTGTGTGTGCGAAGTTTGCATGTTCTCCCCGGGGTTTCAGGAGTTTCCTCCGGGTACTCCAGTTTCCTTCCCGAGTCCAAAGACATGCGTTGTCGGCAGATTGGTATTTTGAAATTGTCCGTAGTGTGCGATCGCGCCCTGCGATGAGTTAGAATCCTGTCCAGGGTGTCCCCCACTTTGTTCCCTGTGTAAGATTAGCGGTACAGAAAATGGATGGATGGATGGATTAAACTTAGACTTTACCTCAAATAATTCAAAAGAGCAAAGCCATAATGATCTAATGAATATAGTATTGATAATTAGAATATAAATATAGAAATACACTTTCTAGCAAATCTGATTAAAGCATCATTAAAATCTCCATTTTGGAATACTATACACTACACAGACTTCTTAGGAGACAGAAGACAATGACCCCAGTTTACAATATGTCCACATCTTTTATAATCTTTTATAATCACTGTCCTGTGGTAGAATTTTTTTAGTTTCTTGACTGATCGTGTCACATTTGGTTCCAAAATTTAGCGGATATTTACTAGAATCTGTTCTTCCATCTACCTGTGCAATGGTTCTTGCATCCCTGGATGCCATACAATCTCAAAGCATAAGACTTCCATCTCTATAACAGCTGGTAAGGTGTTCTTTCCAGCTCCTTTTTTTTAAATCCAAACATAACTTTGGTGATTGTGGCCAAAGATTTCTATTTTTCCTTCATCAGTCCACAGTATTGGTTTCCAAAATACATTTGGCATATCTAGATATCGTTTTGCATACATCACCCATTCACTTTTGTGATGAGGTCAGAGGTAATGTTTCACTCTGATGATTCTTCCATGCAGATCATGCTTGTCCAAGCAACTCTGGAGTGTTGAACGATGCACCACCAAGCGAGAGTCAGCCAAACCTTTCTGCAGGTCCGTGCTGTCACATGGAGGTTTTGCTTTGCCTTTCTGCTCAGCATCTGAGAGTTTTCTTGGCCTTCCTGGTCTCGCCTTGACTTCCACAGTTCCCTTATCTGCTTTTTCTTAATGACAGTGGAGTTTTTCCACAGTGGAAGCCATGTTCTTTTATTTTCCTCAGTCAGCTGTTCAGAGCAGCTCATGGTTGTTGAGTGTTAGGCTTGAAGAGTCAGAGAATTCATTATGCTCTGGAATAGTCATCAGCTGACAATTCCTAATGACAGTTCTTGACGTTAGTAAGTCCTAATGACAGTTAAGTTCATTAAATTCTGATACTGTACAAATGGAAGGGTGTCCAAATCTTTGCACATGCCATAATTGCAATTTGATTTCTTCTTTTTCTTTTTTTTTTTTTTTTTTTTTTTTTTTAAAGTGAATCAAATATAAAGTAACAAAAGAGAAATATTATTATAATTTTTTTTCTGAAGTGGAAGAAGTATACTGTATGTCAGTTGGTCATGCTCAGACTTTAGCATACAGCTGTGTTACTCTGCTGTATCCCTCGTACAGGAAGCAGTAAATCCAGCTCTAGTGACGGCGGTAATAAGCAGTACAGATGTGGCGGTATCAGAGGGGCTCTGGCCGGAAATAAAGCAATAAGTTTCCTAGCTGGACAGGACATACACTCACTACACATGATTACACACACACACACACACTCACACACACACACACACACACACACACGCCACAAATACATACAGTCGCACACAAATATTACACTGAAATGACGTTGAGTGTTGATTTCATTTCCTCTTTTCCACACACTCTATTCCCCATTCACCCTTCAGTAATTCCACATCACTGCTCACTGCTCTGCCGCTGTTGCGCTTAGAGGCGTGCTGTTGCAATCTGAAGGAGAAATGCAGCCAGGGGAAAATTTAGAAGTGATGTGTGGAAGTTGACATCATTTCTTTCTCTTTCACAACTTTCTTTCTTTCGTTCTTTCTCTTTCTTTCGTTCTTTCTCTTTCTTTCTTTCTTTCTTTCTTTCTTTCTTTCTTTCTTTCGTTCTTTCTTTCTCTTTCTTTCTTTCTTTCTCTTTCTTTCTCTTTCTTTCTTTCTTTCTTTCTTTCTTTCTCTCTCTCTCTCTTTCTTAGCATTCTTTCTTTCTTTCTTTCTCTCTATCTTTCTTATCTATCTATTCATCTATCTATCTATCTATCTATCTATCTATCTATCTATCTATCTATCTATCTATCTATCTATCTATCTATCTATCTATCTATCTATCTATCTATCTATCTATCTATCTATCTATCATTCTCTCTCTCTCTCTATCTATCTATCTCTCTCTCTCTCTCTCTCTCTCTCTCTCTCTCTCTCTCTATCTCTCTATCTCTCTCTATCTAATCTATCTTTCTTTGTCTCTTTTTTTCTTTCTCTATTCTTGACACCATTCGAGATTCCTTGGGCTTTTGGAGGTTCAGATGTTTAGCATGTATGTGTCCTGTGGCTTTCCCCTTGCTTACTTGCTATGTGATAAGAGTTTGAAGGTTTTTTCCCTTGCTTTACATTCTCATTCACTATTGATAAAAATAACCTCAACGAAACATCTGCGGTTCAGATGTATATTCGGATCTGTAGCTCATGCTATATTTCTGTACTATAACATCCGGACAGACTCTTCCTTTCAGACTGTCTGCTTGCACTTTTATTTCAGTTGTGACTCTTACTTAGTAATTACTGAACTGTGTGTCTTTTGCATATATGACCTGTTTTGCCTGGTCCTTGCCTGATATTGACTCCTTTTTCATTTCATTTATTTCTTTTTTAAACTCTGCTCTGCCCCTGTGTTTACTCTTTGGACTGTGAGTCTCCCTGTGATATTTTGGTGAGTAAGTCCACTCACTGCATCGACTAACACACTGTAACCGAAGCCAGCATTCAACCTGCAGCGAGCCGAGAGCAAGTGACCCACAGGAAACACTGAAATATTTTCAATCACTGATGATCAACTGGCCACACGAGAGGACTGAGAGTTTATTTGGTTCTTTTATTTTATGTTATTTATTGAAACAAAACAGTTATCCAACGCCAACTGGGCCCGTGTGAAAATGTATTTGCCCCCGTAGTTACTAATTCCCCAAATCAACTGCGTGAAGCTGCATTCATATTGAAGTTTGCTGGACTAGACACAACCAGACCTGATCACACCAAACCCTGTTCAATCAAATCAACACTTAAATAGAACTTTTTCTTGGTTAGAAGGTCTTACCCAGTAACACAAGTTGAAAGAAATGAAAGAAATGATGAAGAAGAAGGTGATCAGGCCTGATCAGAGGGCAAAGTGTTTATAAGAAATATTAGATGCGATTTCACTCATAGATATATGTTTAAATTTCACGTATAGCTAATGTGTTTTATGTTATTTTGTGTGACACTTATGTGAACTCTCACCTTTTTAAATAAATAAATGATTCTATATACATTTGGTGGGTGTGATTTTTTAAAATTAGATTTATCAGACCTTCGGTTGATTCTATTCATTTTATGAGGGTCTATGTTTAATCACATCAGTTGTCTGATTCACAAGGTACCATTTTAGTACAAAAATAATTCCATCAGTGTGATTTAGCTAGTCGTTGGTTGCATCTGCATGTGCTCTAAATGGCAGTTGTAATTTTGTACCAAAGGGGGTTTGAAAATCCTTCGTGGTTAGCATGTTCGCCTCACACCTCCAGGTTCTGGGGTTCGATTCCCAGCCGGGGCCATGTGTGTGCGGAGTTTGCATGTTCTCCCCGTGCTGCGGGGGTTTCCTCTGGGGACTCCGGTTTCCTCCCCCAGTCCAAAGACATGCATGGTAGGCTGATTGGAGTGTCTAAAGTGTCCATAGTGTATGAATGGGTGCATGAGTGTGTATATGATTGTGCCCTGCGATGGATTGGCACACTGTCCAGGGTGTACCCCGCCTCGTGCCCCATGCTTCCTGGGATAGGCTCCAGGTTCCCCGTGACCCTGAAAAGGTGTCAGCGGTATAGAAGATGGATGGATGGAGACTTGTTCTTTTGAGCTGATTCTCTTTACTGAATTGTTTGACATGGTTCACTGGATTCACAAGACACTGAATTGAATTAAGCTTGTGTGCCATGTATGTTCCACGATGTCCAGTCATTTATGTTTGTATATAAGAATTCTAGTGCAATCCCAACAATCAAACAATTAAACCTCATGAAATTTTAACACAACACACAACATAGTCTAACATATGGCTGGGTGATATGACAATATAATATCGATATCATGATAAATTGTCAATTTGCTTTCTGATGACCTTTTCTTAAACACCTTTGAATACAAACTGACCGAAGCAGCTGATTTGGTTTCAAATGTTGTACTTTTTTTTTTGAAACGTGAACATTTACGGTGCGTGTATTTAGACTGGTGGAGATAACCGGAGTACCCCAAGGAAACCCCCGAAGCACTGGGAGAACATGCGAACTCTGTGCGCACAGGGCAGAGGAGGGAGTCGAACCCTCAGCTCTTGCAGTGCACGACAAACGTGCTAACCACTAAGCCACCGTGTCCCCTTCTTCTTATCAATATTCAAAAACATTCTTATATAAATGTAACATAAAGAAAAGTTTAGTAAAAAAATGTTTTTAAATACTGTATTTTTATGAGGGAGTCGTTTGGGAGCCGGAAGATTCGACTATTATTGCTGAGCTGATTCACTGTAAAGAGTCGCGATTGCAATCACTGACAAACTGGGTGAACGTGAAAGCAATTATCTGCACTGGCACATGCATTTATGTTTATTTTATTTTATTTCATTTGTTTTTTAAATGATTTATCAAATTATCATTATCAAAGTAATTTACAGTACAGTTGTGCTTTATTTACTGCAAAGCTTCCGAATGCTCACTAGATGGCGCTAAAGCACTAAACTCTTCCTATAAAGGAACCCAGTGAGAGCAGGTACAGTGCACTGATAATGTGCAACGTGTTCAACTGTGTATTATCTGTTTTGTTGTTGTTGTTGTTGTTGTTGTTTTTTAACAACCTGTGTTGCATTACGTACATAGTTGGGTATATATATGAAAAATATGCTGTATGTATCGTTCTTTGTGTAATAATGAGGTGAGAGCTGATTTAGAAATCATTCCCCGGTGCACGGTATTGACATCAAGCTTTCTGTTAATCTCCTCTAATCTCTGCTTCTCTCATATCTCTCCCATCTCTTCTTCTCTCCTCCTCACACCTCTCCACCTCCTCCTCATCATCATCATCATCATCATCATATTACATCATATCTTCCACTCTCCTCTTTTCACATATCTGGCTCCTATGTCATTAAACCACATCACATCTCATTCTGTCACGCCTTGTCTCATTTAATCTCATCTCCTCACATCTCATTATGTCTTGCTGTGCCTCGTTTCATCTCATCTTACCTCTTCTCGGTTCATCTCATCTCATCTCACAGTTTCCTCACTTCACAAACGTCTTCTTTACATTCTTATAACAATTCTTTGTGTCTCATCTTGTCACATCACACCTTCTGGTGTCTCATCTCATCTCATCTCCCCTCACATATGTCTTCTCTATCATTACAGCTCTTCTCATCAGATCACATCTCCTACTGTATCATCACATGTCCGACTGTCTCATCACACCTCATCACATCTCCTTCTGTTTCATCACATCTCCTACTCTCCTCAAATCTCATCACATGTCCCACTGTCTCATCAAATCTCATTACATCTCCTTCTGTCTAATCTCATCACATCTCATCGCATCTAATCTCATCAAATCTTTTCACACCACATCTCTTTGTTTCTCATCTCCCACTTTCCTCACTTCAGGTCTTCTCTATAATCTAATCACATTTCATCACAACATCTCGTCTTATCTCATCTCATCAAATTTTATTTCATTTAATTGAATCTCATCACATCTCCTCGTGCCTCATCTCATCTCATTTCAATCTCAATACTTGTCATTATATCTCCTTACCTCATCACACCTTTTGTTCTCCTCTCTGTCTGTCCTATCATGTCATCTCATTTCCTTGCGTCTCATCTCATCTCATCTCCCACTTTCTCCCACTTCACATGTCTTCTCTATCTTCTCTATCAAATCACATCTCATCTCATTTCATCTCATCTGGTCACATTCCATCTCGTGTCATCATATATCATATATCAACTCATCTCATTTCTTCATATCTCATCTCAATTAATCCTATTTCATATTGCCACATCACCACTGGTTATCTCATCTCATCGTATCTCATCTCATCTCATCGTATTTCATCCCATCTCATCTCATCGTGTCTCATCTCATTGTACGTCATCTAATCTAATCACATCTAATCACATCTCATCTCATCTAATCTCATCACATCTCATCTAATCTAATCACATCTAATCACATCTCATCTCATCTAATCTCATCACATCTCATCTAATCTAATCACATCTAATCACATCTCATCTAATCTCATCACATCTCATCTCATCTCATCTCATCTCATCTCATCTCATCTCATCTCATCTCATCTCATCTCATCTCATCTCATCTCATCTCATCTCATCTCATCTCATCTCATCTCATCTCATCTCATCTCATCTCATCTCATCTCATCTCATCTCATCTCATCTCATCTCATCTCATCTCATCTCATCTCATCTCATCTCATCTCATCTCATCTCATCTCATCTCATCTCATCTAATCTAATCTAATCTAATCTAATCTAATCTAATCTCATCACATCTCATCACATCTCATCTCATCTCATCTCATCTCATCTCATCTCATCTCATCTCATCTCATCTCATCTCATCTCATCACATCTCATCTCATCGTATCTCATCTCATCGTGTCTCATCTCATTGTACCTCATCTCATCTCATCTCATCTCATCTCATCTCATCTCATCTCATCACATCTCATCTCATCGTATCTCATCTCATCGTGTCTCATCTCATTGTACCTCATCTCATCTCATCTCATCTCATCTCATCTCATCTCATTTCATCTTATCTCATCTCATCTCATCTCATCTCATCTCATCTCATCTCATCTCATCTCATCTCATCTCATCTCATCTCATCTCATCTCATCTCATATTACATCTCATCGTATCACATCACATCTCATCTCATCTCATCTTATTACATCTCATCGTATCACATCTCATCTCATCTCATTTCATCTTATCTCATCTCATCTCATCTCATCACATCTCATCTCATCTCATCTCATCTCATCGTATCTCATCTCATCACATCTCATCTCATCTCATCTCATCTCATCTCATCTCATCTCATCTCATCTCATCGTATCTCATCTCATCTCATCTCATCTCATCTCATCTCATCTCATCTTATCTCATCGTATCACATTTACCTCTCAAGTGTTCTGTCTTTGTCTCTTTTCTCCTCACATCACATCTCAGCTTTATGTCTTGTCTCTGTTCTCTTCTCCTCTCCCCGTCTCTCTGCCTCCACACTCCTCCGATTCCCTCTGTATCGGCCACTGTTGCCCTGAAATTGTATTTACTGCTCTACTTGCCACAACTTTATTCAATATTTAATCAAGATATAGTTTGAAGAGCTCTCTCTGTGAGTAAGTGAGTGTGTGCATGTGAAAATGGCAGCGTGTGTGTGTGTGTGTGTGTGTGTGTGTGTGCAGTAGCTAAAAGCTAGGGATGGGAGTTTTATCACCATGGTTTATAGAGATGAAAGACTTTCATCAGCAGAAGATGATGGAAGTTTTTTTCCCCCTCACACTTCTAGATGTTTGCTCATTTTTCACTACAATTTTGTTCAGATTGGTTTTGTTTGTTAGTTTCATTTGTAAAAACAAGACTAGTTAATAATAGTTAACCAGACCTCAGCTTGGGTGCTCAAGAAGTCATTCAGATTACCATACCAACTATGGAAAAATAATGAAACTTCATCTATTTTTCTTTTTTTTTTTTACTGTGACAAAGCTCTTTTGATGGATATTTGCCTCCACATTCCACAAAATAGAACCATATTCACTTTAAGTACTACAGTGCAGCTCCTCCTCATGGACTGCGCCAGATTGGTCAGTTCTTGCTGTGAGATGTTACTCCTCCACCAAGGCATTTGTAAGTTCTCGATCACGTCTAGGGAGTGGGGGATGACGACATGGTTACATGTCATTTTCTACTGCAAGGACTACTTCTACTGTCCTTCCTGTCTCCCTGTAGCACTGTCTTAGACGTCTTACATTACAGACATTGCCGTTTATTGCTCTGGACACATCTGCAGAGTCTCAAGCGTCCCTGCAGCAGGTCTATGGCATGTTCACGCAGGTGAGCAAGAACCCTAGACATCTTTCTTTTGGTGTTTATCAGAATCAGTAGAAAGGTCTCTTTAGTGTCCTAACTTATTGTAACTGTGACCTTAATTACCTAGCGCCTGTAAACTCTTAGTGTCTTAAGGACTGTTCCACAGGTGCATGTACAATAATTGTTTATGGTTCATTGAACAAGCATGAAAAACATCATTTAAACCCTTTCCAATAATATATAAATATAATATAATATATAATAATATATAATAAATATAAGGATCTTTAAAATGCTGTCACATTATTAACACACACACACACACACACACACACACACACACACACACACACATTATTGTTGTTTAGTAATAATACTGATGCTAAATTATTCACAATAATTTATAATTTTATATTAATAATTGATACGGAAATTTAATATGCAGTACTATGCAATAGATACCCTATTCCTTTATATTTAAAAAATATTTAAAATAAAAAAAATTATACATTTACAGCCATTCATTTTCTGAAAAATGTCATGTTTTGCAGAGGATTTTTTTTTCTGTCATTAAAGAGAGGAACATTTCCTTTTAGAGATGTTGCTTATAGCTTTATTTTCTTTAACTGTACACGAGAGAGCAGCACAATATCTGATTTAAACTATCATGTCAGGAAAAAAACAGTGCTTCCACAATGCTTCCATACTGACCTGCGTGTCCTAAGGCAGAGGAAGCAAACAACGGTGCCTGTATAATGAAAAAGAGCTGTTAATGTGTGCTGGAGAAACACAGAGACATCTAGTGCTCTCAGGGGGCTCTCGTACTCCTGCTGCTGTAAACCGATGGCTCCAGTTTCTGCACAGCATGGTGGTGAGTCCTCTACCCCGAGGCCAGCATCCATTACACACATTACTGACGTTTAACAGTCATTTAGGGTCTGGCTTGTATGATTCCCATTATTGTGTAATGTACAATATGGTAAATGCTCTGAGATATTAAAGTACAGCTCATTCTTTTAACAGCCCTTTGTGAGTGTGTGTGTGTGTGTGTGTGTGTGTGTGTGTGTGTGTGAGGGTATGCATATTGCTGAGGGAAATGGGTTGATATGGAACACTGAGTACGATTAGGAGCGTTTTTCTTTCTTTAGCTTAAAGCGAAGTTCTTCTACCAGACATCCTCGTTCCTGTGTTAGTATTTTAAACTGTTTGAAATTACAAAGGAACATTACAAAGGCACTAGAGAGACATTAAAAATATGGGTACAG